AAAAATGCGTTTTTGCGTTTCTCACCTAGCCAGCAAAAAGTTACAGGCTAAAAATGAATCAGAAGTGCTTCTTTCATTAGTAGCTATAAAACCATACAGGACCTATCTTCTTCGAAGCTGTCGAATGGGTTGATTTCTCCACTTGAACATCAAAAATGCGGTTTTTGGCATTTCTTACCTAACCAGCAAAAAGCTACTGGTTAAAAAGTGTTCCTTTCATTAGAAGCTATAAGGCCACATCTCGTTCGGAGCCGTCGAAGGGGTTGATTTCACCACTTGAAAGTCAAAAATGCGTTTTTTGCGTTTGTCACCTAGCCAGCAAAAAGTTACAGGCTAAAAATGAATCAAAATTGTTCCATGTATTAGTAGCAATAAGGCCACATAGATCCTATCTTCTTCGGAGCCGTCGGAGGGGTTGATTTTACCCATTGAACGTCAAAAATGCATTTTTTTGGATTTCTTACCTAGCCAGCTAAAAATGAATCAAGGGTGTTCCTTTTATTAGTGGCTATAAGGCCACATCTTCTTCGGAGCCTTCGAAGGGGTTGATTTCACCACTTTAACGTCAAAAATGCGTTTTTGACATTTCTCACCTCGTCAGCAAAAAAGTTACAGGCTGAAAACGGATCAAAAGTGTTCCTTTCATTAGGAGCAATAAGGCAACATCTCGTTCGGAGCCGTCAAAGGGGTTGATTTCACCACTTGAACGTCAAAAATGCGTTTTTGGCATTTCTCACCCCGTCAGCAAAAAAGTTACATTCTGACAATGAATCAAGGGTGTTCCTTTCATTAGAAGCAATAAGGCCACGTCGAAGAGGTTGATTTCACCTTTTGAAAGTCAAAAATGCGTTTTTTGCATTTCTCAACTAGCCAGCAAAAAGTTACAGGCTAAAAATGAATCAAAAGTGTTCCATGTATCAGTAGTAATAAGGCCACATATATCCTATCTTCTGCGGAGCCGTCGGAGAGGTTGATTTTACCCCTTGAACGTCAAAAATGCGGTTTTCTGAATTTCTCACCTGGCCAGCAAAAAAGTTACAGGCTAAAAATGAATCAAGAGTGTTCCTTTCATTAGTAGCTATAGGGCCACATCTTCCTCGAAGCTGTCGAATGGGTTGATTTCTCCACTTGAACATCAGAAATGCGGTTTTTGGCATTTCTCACCTAACTAGCAAAAAGTTACTGGCTAGAAATGAATAAAAAGTGTTCCTCTCATAAGGCCACATAAATCCCGCCTTCTTAGGATCCGGCGACGGGGTTGATTTCACCACTTGAACCTGGCCAGCAAAAAAGTTACAGGCTAAAAATGAATCAAGAGTATTCCTTTCATTAGTAGCTATAGGGCCACATCTTCTTCGGAGCCGTCGAAGGGGTTGAATTTACCACTTGAACGTCAAAAATGCGTTTTTTGCGTTTCTCAGCTAGCCAGCAAAAAAGTTACTGGCTAAAAATGAATCAGGGTGTTCCTTTCAATAGTAACTATAAGGCCACATCTATGGAACCGTCGAATGGGTTGATTTCACTTCTTGAACGACAAAAATGCGTTTTTGGCATTTCTCACCTAGTCAGCAAAAGAGTTACAGCCTAGAAATGAATCAAAAATGTTCCATGTACATATATTAGTAGTAATAAGGCCACATAGATCCTATCTTCTTCGGAGCCGTCGGAGAGTTTGATTTTACCCCTTGAACGTCCAAAAAGCGGTTTTCTGAATTTATCACCTGCCAGCAAGAAAGTTACCAGCTAGAAATGAATAAAAAGTGCTCCATGTGTTAGTAGCTATAAGGCCACATAGATCCTATCTTCTTCGGAGCCGTCGGAGAGTTTGACTTTACCCCTTGAACGTCCAAAAAGCGGTTTTCTGAATTTATCACCTGCCAGCAAGAAAGTTACCAGCTAGAAATGAATAAAAAGTGCTCCATGTGTTAGTAGCTATAACGCCACATAGATACTATCTTCTTCGGACCCGTCGAAGGGGTTGATTTCACCACTTGAACGTCTAAAATGCGGTTTTGGCATTTGTCACCTAACCAGCAAAGAGTTACCGGCTAGAAATGAATAAAAAGTGTTCCATGTGTTAGTAGCTATAAGGCCACATAGATACTATCTTCTTCGGAGCCATCGAAGGGGTTGATATTACCCCTTGAACGTCAAAAATGCGGTTTTCTGAATTTATCACCTGCCAGCAAAAAATGTACTGGCTAAAAATCAATGAAGAGTGTTCCTTTCATTAGTAGTTATAAGGCCACATCTACGGAGCCGTCGAAGGGGTTGAGTTTACCACTTGAACGTCAAAAATGCGTTTTTTGCATTTCTCAGCTAGCCAGCAAAGAAGTTACTGGCTAAAAATGAATCAAGGGTGTTCCTTTCATTAGCAACTATAAGGCCACATCTTCGGAGTCGTCGAAGGGGTTAAATTTACCACTTGAACGTCAAAAATGCGTTTTTTGCGTTTCTCAACTAGCCAGCAAAAAAGTTACAGGCTAAAAATGAATCAAAAGACTTTCATGTGTTAGTTGCAATTATGCCACATAGATACTATCTTCTTCGGAGCCGTCGAAGGGGTTAATATTAGCCATTGAACGTCAAAAATGAGGTTTTCTGAATTTATTACCTGCCAGCAAAAAAGTTACTGGCTAAAAATGAATCAAGAGTGTTCCTTTCATTAGTAGCTATAGGGCCACATCTTCGGAGCTGTCGGATGGGTTGATTTCACTACTTGAACGTCAAAAAAGCCTTTTTGCATTTCTCACCTAACCAGCAAAAAGGTTACAGACTAAATATGAACCAAAATGTTCTTTTTATCAGTAGCTATAAGGCCACATAAATCCCATTCTGTTCGGAGGCGTCGAAGGGGTTGATTTCACTACTTGAACGTCGAAAATGCTGTTTTTTGCATTTATCACCTAGCCTGAAAAAAGTTACAAGCTAAAAATTTATCAAAGGTGTTCCTTTCATTAGCAGCTATAGGGCCACATTGACCTCATCGTCGGAGTCGTCGAAGGAGCTGATTTCACCACTTGAACGTAAAAAATGCGTTTAATGCACTTCTCACCTAGTCAGCAAGAAAGTTACAGGCTAAAAATGAATCAAGAGTGTTCCTTTCATTAGTAGCTATAAGGGAAAATGAATCAAGAGTGTTCCTTTCGTTAGTAGCTATAAGGCCACATAGATCTCACCTACGCAGCCGTCGAAGGGGTTGATTTCACCACTTGAACATCAAAAATGCGTTTCTTGCATTTCTCACCTGGCCAGCAAAAAAGTTACAGGCTAAAAATGAATCAAGAGTATTCCTTTTATTAGTAGCTATAGGGCCACATCTTCTTCTCAGCCGTCGAAGGGTTTGATCTCACCACTTGAATGTCGAAAATGCGTTTTTTGCATTTCTTACCTAGCCGGCAAAAAGGTTACAGGTAAAAATGAATCAAAAGTGTTCCTTTCATTAGTAGCTATAAGGCTATACAGAACCTATCTTCTTCGGAGCCGTCGAACGGGTTGGTTTCACCACTTGAACGTTAAAAATGCGTTTTTGCCATTTCTCACCTAGTCAGCAAAAAGGTTGGCTGAAAATGAATCAAGAGTATTCCTTTCATTAGTAGCTATAAGGCCACATCTCCTTCGGAGCCGTCGAAGGGGTTGAATTTACCACTTGAACGTCAAAAATGCGTTTTTTGCGTTTCTCAACTAGCCAGCAAAAAAGTTACAGGCTAAAAATGAATCAAAAGAGTTCCATATGTTAGTTTTCATAGGGCCACATGGATATTATCTTGTTCGGAGCCGTCGAAGGGGTTGATATTACCCCTTGAACGTCAAAAATGCGGTTTTCTGAATTTATCACCTGCCAGCAAAAAAGTTTCTGGCTAAAAATGAATCAAGAGTTTTCCTTTCATTAGTAGCTATAAGGCCACATCTTCGGAGCCGTCGAAGGGGTTGAATTTATCACTTGAACGTCAAAAATGCGGTTTTCTGCATTTCTCACCTAGCCTGAAAAAAAGTTACAGGCTAAAAATTTATCAAAAGTGTTCCTTTCATTAGTAGCTATAAGACCACATTAACCTCATTGTCGGAGCCGTCGAAGGAGTTGATTTCACCACTTGAACGTCAAAAATGCATTTTTGGCCTCTCTCACCTAGTCAGCAAAAAAGTTACAAGCTGAAAATAAATCAAGAGTGTTCCTTTCATTAGTAGCTATAAGACCACATCTTCGGAGCCATCGAAGGGGTTGAATTTACCACTTGCACGTCAAAAATGCGTTTTTTGCGTTTCTCAACTAGCCAGCAAAAAAGTTACAATCTAAAAATGAACCAAAAGAGTTCCATGTGTTAGTTGCCATAGGGCCATTATCTTCTTCGGAGCCGTCGAAGAGGTTGATATTACCCCTTGAACGTCAAAGATGCGGTTTTCTGAATTTATCACCTAACCTGAAAAAAAGTTACAGGCTAAAAATTTATCAAAAGTGTTCCTTTCATTAGTAGCTATAAGACCACATTAACCTCATCGTCGGAGCCGTCGAAGGAGTTGATTTCACCACTTGAACATCAAAAATACGGTTTTTGGCATTTCTCACCTAAACAGCAAAAAGTGACCGGCTAGAAATGAATAAAAAGTGTTCTTTTCATTAGTAGCTATAAGGCCATACAGGACCTGTCTTCTTCGGAGCCGCCCAAGGGGGGTTTTTGCATTTCTAACCTAGTAAGCAACAAACTAAAAGTTACAGGCTAAAAATGAATCAAGAGTGTTTCTTTCATTAGTAGCTATAAGGAGCCATCGAAGGGGTTGAATTCACCACTTGAACGTCAAAAATGCGTTTTTTGCGTTTCTCAACTAGCCAGCAAAAAAGTTACAGGCTAAAAATGAACCAAAAGAGTTCCATGTGTTAGTTGCCATAGGGCCACGTGGATATTATCTTGTTCGGAGATGTCGAAGGGGTTGATTTCACCCCTTGAACGTCAAAAATGCGTTTTTCACATTTCTCACCACGCGTTTTTTGCGTTTCTTACCTAGCCAGGAAAAAGTTACAGGCTGATGAATCAAGAGTGTTCCTTTCATTAGTCGGTATAAGGCCATACAGGACCTGTCTTCTTCGGAGCCGCCCAAGGGGGGTTTTTGCATTTCTAACCTAGTAAGCAACAAACTAAAAGTTACAGGCTAAAAATGAATCAAGAGTGTTTCTTTCATTAGTAGCTATAAGACCACATCTTCGGAGCCATCGAAGGGGTTGAATTTACCACTTGAACGTCAAAAATGCGTTTTTTGCGTTTCTCAACTAGCCAGCAAAAAAGTTACAGGCTAAAAATGAACCAAAAGAGTTCCATGTGTTAGTTGCCATAGGGCCACATAGATATTATCTTCTTCGGAGCCGTCGAAGGGGTTGATTTCACCACTTGAACGTTTAAAATGCGTTTTTTGCACTGCTCACCTAGTCAGCCAAAAAGTTACAGGCTAAAAATGAATCAAGGGTGTTCCTTTCATTAGTAGATGTAAGGCCATATCTTCTTCGGAGCCGTCGAAGGGGTTTATTTCACCCCTTGAACGTCAATAATGCGTTTTTGACATTTCTCACCACGCGTTTTTTCCGTTTCTCACCTGGCCAGGAAAAAGTTACAGGCTGATGAATCAAGAGTGTTCCTTTCATTAGTCGGTATAAGGCCACATCTCCTTCGGAGCCGTCGAAGGGGTTGATTTCACCACTTAAGCGTTAAAAATGCGTTTTTTGCATTTCTCACCTGGCCAGCAAAGAATTTGATTTCACCACTTGAACATCAAAAATGTGGTTTCTGTCATTTCTCACCTTAACAGCAAAAAGTTACCGGGCTAGAAATAAATAAATAGTGTTCCTTACATTAGTAGCTATAAGGCCATACATGACCTGTCTTCTTCGGAGCCGCCGAAGGGGTTGATTTCACTACTTGAACGTCGAAAATACGTTTTTTGCATTTCTTACCTAGCCGGCAAAAAGCTTTCAGGCTAAAAATGAATCATTAGTAGCTTGATTTCTCCACTAGAACATCAAAAATGGGGTTTTTGGCATTTCTTACCTAACCAGCAAAGAGTTACCGGCTAGAAATAAATGAAAAGTGTTTCTTTCATTAGTAGCTATAAGGATATACAAGACCTATCTTCTTCGAAGCCGTCGAAAGGACTGATTTCACAACTTGAACGTCGAAAATGCGTTTTTTGCACATCTTGCCTATCCGGAAAAAAGAATACAGGCTAAAAATAAATCATTAGTAGCTATAGGGCCACATCTTCTTCGGAGCCGTCGAATGGGTTGATTTCTCCGCTAGAACATCAAAAATGCGGTTTTTGGCATTTCTCACCTAACCAGCAAAGAGTTACCGGCTAGAAATAAATGAAAAGTGTTCCTTTCATTAGTAGCAATAAGGCCATACAGGACCTATCTGCTTCGAAGCCGTCGAAAGGATTGATTTCCAACTTGAACGTCGAAAATGCGTTTTTTGCATTTGTTACCTAGCCAGCAAAAAAGTTACAGGCTAAAAATGAATCAAAAGAGTTCCATGTGTTAGTTGCTATAAGGCCACATAGATACTATCTTCTTCGGAGCCGTCGAAGGGGTTGATATTACCTCTTGAACGTCAAAAATGCGGTTTTCTGAATTTATCACCTGCCAGCAAAAAAGTTACTGGCTAAAAATGAATCAGGAGTATTCCTTTCATTAGTAGCTATAAGGCCACATAGATCTCATCTTCGGAGCCGTCGAAGGGGTTGATTTCACCACTTGAACATCAAAAATGGGTTTTTTGCACTTCTCACCTAGTCAGCAAAAAAGCTACAGGCTTAAAATGAATCAAGAGTATTCCTCTCATTAGCAGCTAAAGGGCCACATCTTCTTCGGAGACGTCGAATGGGTTTATTTCTGCAATCGAACATCAAGAATGCGGTTTTTGGCATTTCTCACCTAAACAGCAAAGAGTTACCGGCTAGAAATGAATAAAAAGTGTTCCTTTCATTAGTAGCTATAAGGCCATACAAAGCGTGTCTTCTTCGGAGCCGCCCAAGGGGTTGATTTCACCACTTGGACGTCGAAAATGCGTTTTTTTGCAATTCTTACCTAGCCAGCAAAAAGGTTACAGGCGAAAAATGAATCAAAAGTGTTCCTTTCATTAGTAGCTATAGGGCCACGTCTTCTTCGGAGCCGTCGAATGGGTTGATCTCTCCACTTGAATATCAGAAGTGCGGTTTTTGGTATTTCTCAACTAACCAGCAAAAAGTTACTGGTTAAAAATGAATAAAAAGTGTTCCTTTCATTAGTAGCTATAACGCCACATAAATCCCATCTTCTTCGGAGCCGTCGAAGGGATTGATTTCACCCCTTGAACGTCAAAAATGCGTTTTTGACATTTCTCACCTCGTCAGCAAAAAAGTGTCAGGCTGAAAATGAGTCAAGGGTGTTCCTTTCATTAGGAGCTATAAGGCCACATCTCCTTCGGAACCTTCGAAGGTGTTGATTTCACCACTTTAACGTCAAAAATAGGTTTTTTGCGTTTCTCACATAGCCAGGAAAAACTTACAGGCTGATGAATCAAGAGTGTTCCTTTCATTAGTCGGTATAAGGCCACATATTATTATTATTATTATTATAATTATAATTACTATTATTTTAATTAATATTATTATTATTATTATTATTTATTATTATTATTATTATAACTAATATTATTATTATTATTGTTATAATAATTATTATCACATTATTATTATAATTATTATTATTATTTTTTTTTTTTTTTTTTTTTTTTTTTTTCCCACGGCTTCGACAGATGATGTCATTTGCCGTATCCCTCCTCCACATATAGGACATGTCATTGTCACCCAGGGGTAGATCTGAGTGCATTTTATCACAGGTAATATCAATCATCAATAATATATTTAAAGTCTCAATATATTTAATAGGTGGGTTCTTTTCTCACTTTTCAAGTATCACACAGTGTGTGTCTTGGATACTGAATTATATGTTAAGTACCCATCGAGTAGAGAATAGTAGGTAACTGGCATGTACGTTTATTATGCATTATATGTCACATGGTTTTAGTTATTGGTTTATTTGTATAAGCTATTTTATGGAATATCTTATTCAGGGTTTAACAAGTGTATCATCTTACATGTTTATATTTTCAGGAAAACTTGTATTTCTCTTAAGAAGTTAAGGATGTTTATCATGCTACCGGCGTCATTGCCACAGAGCCCACGTTGTAGGCTGTTAATAATGTCAAACGATTGGCGGACTCTAGAATATGTTGGGCATTCCAAGAATATGTGGTCAATTGTTAGCTGAGTTTGGCAGTTTTCGCATTGCGGTGGATCCAGGCCGCGAATGAGATGCATGTGTGTTATGTTGCAATGGCCTATGCGTAATCGTGTAAGCGTCACCTCTTCTCTTCGTGGTAGTGATGGGAGGTGCCATTTTTTAACTGTAGGTTTGTATCTTTTGAGGGTAGTTTCGCATCCGTTCCATCTCTCTTGCCATACAGACATCAACTTATTCTTCAGAACATTTTTCAGGTCTTCCGGGTGGACCAGGTTGTTGGCGTTGACAGTATCGGTTGCTGCTTCACGGGCCAATTCGTTAGCCCTTTCATTACCTGGAATCCCTACATGACCTGGAGACCATATAAAGATAACATATTTCCGATCTGATTCCAGTAAGACAAGCCAATGAAGTATTTCTTGAACCAATGGGTCAAAGGAATTTGTGGCAGATATAGATTGAATGGCACTAAAGGAATCGCTGCAGATTAGGTAAGTACCTGCTTCATTGAGGTTATTTATATATTCCAGTGCTTTAAGCAATGCAAGTTGCTCGGCTCTGAAAACCGAGGTCATGGGATGTAGTTTAAATTTTTGCTCGTGTCCCGTTGATGTATAGGCACATCCAACGCTATCAGCTAACTTTGATCCATCAGTATATATAATATTTTTAACGTTTGTGTAACTATTTACAGTGTCATTAAACAATGCAAGAAATAAGGAGCTATTGGTTTCATCCTTCTTGTACCGTGCACACTGCAAGTCCAATACAGGTTTGTTTATTGTCCATGGTGGCGTTGAGCTATGTTTTAGATTATAAACGTCAGGAAGTTCGAGGTCGATGCTATTCAAAATTTCTTGAATCCTTACACCTGAAGGTCGTGTTATGGTAGGTCTGTCCAGGAAGGTTTGGTTGATTGCTTGGTCGTATAGGATGTTGTAGTTGGGATGAGGTGGGTGTGACCAAATCTTTACACTATAATTCATAGTCAACTGCTGGAGCCTTATATCAAGAGGAGGAATACCTGAATCGCAGTATACCGCTGACGAGGGACTTGTTCGAAAAGCTCCGATACATAATCGCAGACATTGGTTATGTATCTGTTCCAAGTGTCGTAGATGAGATTTCCTTGCGGCTCCATAGATGATTAATCCATACTCGATTTTAGACAGAACAAGTGACCGATATAACGAGAGAAGGGTATCCCTGTCAGCACCCCAGTTTATGTTCGATATGCATTTCAAGATGTTCATAGACTTTTTGCATTTCACCATCAGATTATTGACGTGTTCTTTCCAATACAGCTTTCTGTCGAAAGTTAGCCCCAAAAGCTTAACAGTATCATCGATCTGTATTGCGGTGTTTCTCAATAGCAGGTGAGGATGATTGTGAGCAGTTCGTAGCCGACAAAAATGAATGGCGGTGGTTTTTGATGCTGAGAAGCGGAAACCAATACTTTGAGCTTCTGTAACTAGGCTGTTTATTGCTGCTTGGAGTTTAATCTCGATGTTCGACATATCTTTGTCCGAGTAGAAGATCGTGAGGTCGTCTACGTATAAACATTTTCCAATGTCTGGATCTATTGTACCTATAAGACGGTTTATAGCTATCAGGAATAGCGTTACGCTGATGGTGGAACCCTGAGGTATACCGTTCTCGAGAGTATGCGGCTGAGAGAGGTGTTTGCCGAGCCGGACTTTGAATGTTCGGTTTTCTAGGAACTTGGAAATGAATTTGAGCATATTACCTCGTATACCCCATTCATGTAAGGTGTTGAGTATTCCTCGTCTCCATGTTGTGTCATAAGCTTTTTCTAAGTCAAAGCAAACAGATACCAAATGTTTTCTTTCGGCAAAGGATTGTTGAATAGCCGTGTCTATATGAGCCAATTGATCTAAAGTGGATCTAAACTTTCGGAAACCCATCTGGTAATCCGAAAGTAGACCGTTCGTTTCTAAAAACCAGACCAGTCTTCTATTAATCATCTTTTCGAGGAGTTTACTAATGCAACTAGTGAGTGATATGGGTCGGTAGTTGCTAGGGTTTTTAGGGTCCTTTCCAATTTTTGGAATAGCCACTATGATGGCTTCATGCCATTGCTCAGGGTATATGCCTTCACTCCAAATACGGTTGAATAGTTCCAGGAGTGTAAGCTGTTCGCTTTCAGGAAGATGCTTAAGCATGTCGTAGTGGATGTTGTCTGAACCAGTTGATGAAGAATTAACCTCGTTAAGAGCGTTTTGCAGTTCTAGCAATGTAAAAGGTACGTTGTATACCAATAACGAGTCATCAACTATTTCCAATATATTTTTTTCAGCCTTAGCCTTTTTAGCTACGAAGGCAAGATTATAGCTATCCGAACTGCTTGTCTCTTGGAATTGTGTAGCTAATATATTACAAATGTCTTCATAGTTTGTAATTTCTATATTGTTGACTAGCAGTATAGGGGATGGAGCTTGGAAATGCTTTCCTTGAATACTTCTGATTTTGTGCCAGACTTCCGATGGTGGTGTTTCTTTAGATATATGTGACACGTATTCTTGCCATGATGATTTTTTACTTTTTAAAATTATGCGACGAGCTTCCGCTCTTCTTTTCTTGAATTCAATTAAGTTGTTAGTAGAGAAGTTGCGTTTGAATTCTCTTAAGGCCTTATTTTTTTCTTTGACTGCTTTTCCAATCTTATCGTTCCACCATGGCACTTGCACATTTTTGATGTTACCACTTTTTTTGGGAATACTGAGGTTCGCTGCACTAACTATGACAGATGTTATAGACTGCACCGAGTCGT